GAGATTTCAAGAGCGCAGGCATGTGAATGCACAACAATGTGAATGTACTGAATATGCTTAAAATGTAACCATCTGGGACAATTTTATGTTATGTATGTGTTAGTATTCCGTGACTGTAAAAACAAAACAAAAACACCTGAGATAATCAACTCATAAGAGAGAAAGGTATACTTTGGCTCACAGTTTTGGAGGTTTCAGTTCATGGTTGGTTGGCTACATTGCTTTTGGGTCTGAGGTGAGGCAGCATATCATGGTGGGAGCACATGGCAGAAGAAGCTACTTACCTCGTGGGTAGCCAGGAAGTAAGAGAGAAAGAATCCATGTGCATAGAAGAGACAGAGGTCCCACAATCCCCTTTGAGGGCATTTTCCCAATCATCTACAACTCCACAGCACACCCTACCTCTTAAAGATTCCACCATCCTACAATAGCATCAAGTTGAGGATCAAGTCTCAACACACGGCATTTGGGGGACATTCCACAGCTAAAATGTATCAGCATATTTTACCACTACACAAAAAAGCCACAGATTAAAACAGAATTCAAAACACTATTTTAAAACTATTGTAATTAATACAAGATAAACAAAAAAGAATATAGGCACAAATTTAAAAACTCATCAAGATTTGTGCTCTTTACTACATGGGAGCTAAATCCTTATTAAAACAAGAAAATAAAAATGCAGTTATTACCAAATTGTACAACACTGACAACCCTGAGCTCCTCCTAAGTATATACTTCATTCTCTGTATAAGGAGGACACAGTAACTCAAGCTCCAGCTGGATCCTGAGCTTTCAAGCAGCTCTTCAAAGTCTCTTCACATTGGCAAGCACATATCTACGTGATTCAGATTATTTTTCCATTCTGTGCAATCAAAATAAAATGAAATACTAAATCAGAGATTGGGATGACAAAATTATACAGATGGAATACAGATAAAATGGTTGCCAGGGGTTCAAAGGTCAGAGAGGGAAGGGGTGACTCTAATGGGGCATGGAGTATCATGGAGGTGACGGAGTCGCTCTGTTCTTGATTGTTGGGGCAAATGGGCAGATCTATATATGTGATAAATGTCTCAAACTATATCCATTCCTTGGTATCCAAGAAGCATTGATTCTAGGACCTCCTGAGTTAATAATTCTGCAGATACTCAAGTCCCTTATATAAAATGGTGTGGTATTTGCACCTAAGCAATTCTTCCATATACTTTAAATCATCTTTAGATTGTTTATAATACCTAACACAATGGGATTGAAGTCTAAATAGTTGTTATGCTCTACTGTTTAGGGAAAAATGACAAAGGCTGGGAACATAGCTGAGAGATATTATTTGCCCAGCATATGCAAGGCCCTGACCCTGGGTTCAATCCCCAGCACTGGGAGAAAAAAAAAAAAAAAAGTTTGCACAGTACCTTTTTTTTTTTTTTTCGCAAACATTTTAAATCCATGTTTACTTGAATCTGAAAATGGAGAACCCATGAATATAGAGAGCTGGCCATATATATAAAAGCATACCAAAAATAAGTGACTACCAAGTGACACTTGTAGTCATTGCTTTGGACCCACTGATTTCCTGGTCCCAATAATGCCCTGAAGAAATACAAAAAGTTACTACTGGAAGAGGCTGGGCCATAGAATTAAAAGACTTTTCTACTATTTTTGGCTGCTTTTTTAAATTTTTTGATTCTATAATTGCATCAAAACTTCAACAAATGATAAACAGAGATATAAACTGGATGTTGAGACTGGTATATGCTGGACATACCTCTAGTTTCCAAAATTTTTATCTTTATTAAATTACACCATTGTTCTGACTTGATAACATGTAAAAGTGAACTATGGTTATGACACATTAAAATAAATGTTTCCTCATAAAACACCACATAAGTCCAGCTGTGTTCAAAAGAGGATTCATTTCCTTTGTTGTCAAAGTTGAAAACTACTGAGGTATGAGAGAGAACATGCAATGAAAAGCAGGAGACAGGCTGGATCGGATCTCAGCTAATCAGCTGTCAAATGAAAAATGATTACACCCATCCTTGCCATTAAGACTTTCTTGTTAGGAAATGAGACACATGCAGCTAGAAGGCCACATAAGGACATCAGATGTTCCCCGGTAACATGTGGCTAACAGTCAACGAATAGAACTATGAACTGAATTGTATTCCCTCAAAATTCATATGCTGAAGTCTTAACTTGAAATGTGACTATATGAAGAGGTAGGGCCTTGAAAAATGTGATTAAGATTAAATGAGGTGAAGGATAGAGGCCTAATCAATGTGAATGATGTCCTTACAAGAAGAGGGAAGGGCGGGGCGTAGCTCAGTGGGAGAGCACTTGCCTAGCATGCAACAGGCCCTAAGTTTGATTCCCAGAACTGCAAAGGAAAAAAAAATAGAAGAGGGAGAGACACAAAAGGGGTGCCCATTCAGAGGAATGACCATGTGAGGGCACAGGAGAAGGTGGCCATCCGCAAGCCAAGGACAGAGACCTCACCGGAAACCAAATAAACCTGGATCTTGCATCTCCAGCCTCCAGTACTAAGAGGAAGTAAACTTCTTTTTGAACCATGGGTCGGTGTGGTATTTTGTTATGGCAGCCCAAGAAAACTATTAAAAGTAGAACAGTGATGTGGTGTAGAAGGAGGAAAGAAGCTTGCTTAGAACTAGCTGCCTGATCTTCCACAGGGGGCCTGAACACAGTACAAAGTTGCAATTAATGGCAGATTTTTACCAAAACAGTATTTCATATATTCAAAGAAAAGCCAGCTACAAATCATATAAAAGAAAACCATATGACTAGATGCATACTGTTCACAAACAACTGGAGTTCCTTCATCTATATTCCTTCTTTCAATCAACCAACCAACAATGGTAACTGAATCTCTCAAGTCCTGAGTCAGGTTCTGGGGACACAGAGTAGAGGCCTAAGCTTGGCTCTGTGTACTACATAGTCTTTGGGGTAGATGGGAAGTAGGAGCAAGAGCTATGTGAGGATAAGTGCCTCCCCAAGCTAAGCAAGGGGAGCAGAAGCACAGAGCAGAGGTGTCTTCCAGAAAGAGCTCTGGCAGCCATCAAAATGGACCTGTGAATCCCGGGAAACAGCAGCCATTTCTGGGGCTAGTATGTGCTTTGGCAGCCCTGTTAATAGATAGAGGTCAAAACACACACACACACACACACACACAGAATTTCTACAGCCCCCCACCAGCAGGCCTGTGTCAGCTATCCTTCAAGTGAAGCATGTTTTCCATTGCTTATCTACTAATTCTATTAAAGAGACAGTCCCAAATAACAAAGCACAGATTCATTGTTTTGTTTTATTCTTTGGGTGGTGCTGGGGATAGAACCCAGGGCCTTATGATCATTGGTTGTTTTTTGACACCTGCTCTTCCATCTGTTTAGAGGATGTATGAAGTTAAAAAAAATCATTTTGTAAACTAAAATACATGATATAAAAGTTAGATAACAGGATGTTAGATTTTAACATAAGCCAAAGTGATCATTTGACACATTAAGAAACCCAAAACAGAGATTGCCCAGGGTCGCCCAGCTCATCTGTGGTACAGCCAGAGGAAAGACTTGGGGTTGCCTACAGCTGAGACCTCATGAGAAGCATAAGTTGTTAAAATCTAAATTTCACAATATTAGATATTTTTGCATCCTACTTTTTTCCTTTAGTTTTACTATAATTTGAAGCATGCACAGGTCATGATTTTGCTTTAGGCAATACAGTATTTGGAGCTCCTAGTTTGTAAAGGTTTGTGCTATGACAAACCAAATTGGAAAGCTCTTGGTGTTTCCTCTCTTAACCAAGCATTCTATTCCTATACCCTAAGAGTGTTTTCCATTTGAAAGCTCTGAAAAGTCGAGAGTAAGCCACTTATCATTGAGAATAGGGGAGGAAAGGAAAATGATAAGTGAAGGAGAAGGTGTAGAAAAGAAGAAGAGAAGAGAAGAAAGGGAAAGAGGAAAAATGTGTTCTTCCAGCACTGCACATTGGTATCAGTGTTGTTTGTCTAGAAAGCAACTGGCCTATGCGAGGGTTGGTAGAGGAGACTGATCTTACAACTACATGGTCACGCTTCACTCTTAGGGCACTCAGTAAAGATCAAATGCATGTGCAAACATAAACCACTACATGTCTTTTGTTGTTGTTGTTATTGTTGTTTGCATTTTGACTCATTGTACATAAATGGAGCACAACTTTTCATTTCTCTGGTTGTACACGATGCAGAGTCACACCATTCGTGCAATCATCAGGTACATAGGGTAATAATTACCATCTCATTCCACCATCTTTCCCACTTCATACCCACTCCCCTCTCATCCCTCTCCTCTGCCCAATCCAAAGTTGCTCCATTCTTAACTTGCCTACTCCAAACCCACTATGGATCAGCATCTACATGTCAGAGAAAGCATTTATTTCTCCTTTGGTTTTTTAGGATAGGCTTATTTCGCTTAGCATGATATTCTCCAACTCTATCCATTTACCTGAAAATGCAGTAATTTCATTCTTTTGTGAGGCTGAATAATATTGCATTGTGTATATATACCACAGTTTATTTACACATTCATCTCTTGAATGGCATCTGGTTCCACAGTTTAGCTATTTTGAATTGAGCTGCTATAAACATTGATGTAAACCATTACATTTCTATCTCATGACAATTGTGTTACTGAGTTCCCTCTTGCCTTGGTGACCAAGATGCTTAGAGTCAACTGCACCCCCAACTGCAGACACCAAGGGCGGCTAGTGGCTCTTCCCCTTTGGTTTAACTTTTCCTATCTTATTTAGTAACCCTTCAGCTAGATGCCTTCTGCCATAAGCAACTTCAAAACTTGTCAGGAAAAAAAAAAAAGTCAATTAACTAATTTACAAGAAAAGAACCAAAAGGAAATACTGAACTTGCTCACTGAAAGCTCATTCAGATTGGAGGTATAATTAAGAATTTGAGGATGCATCAGCCCCTTGCATCATTATTTGAACTCTAAACTTACCAACAGTGTCGCACGGCTCATCTTTGTGAACGCAGAAATCTGTCCTAAAAAAGAAAAAAAGAGAGAGAGAAAGAGAGTCAGACATAGTCAGGTGAATGTGGTTTACTAGGAAAATGGGAGAAGAAACACTGAAATTAACCTTGATTATGGTTTCAGTTGTCATGAGTCATAGTGACATACCATAATTAACAGGGTTTGCCAAGAGAAATTGGCTTATAACATGTCCAAGTGCAAGCCCAGTTACCCTATGAAGGCCCTCCCTTTATAGCTAGACTATTCTATTAAAAAATAAGTTGCTGAAAAGATTCCAACAGCTGAAAAGGTTTTGGAAGATGTTTGTTAAATTATCGATTGAAAACAATTATCAGTCAATATCATCAAACTGCAACGGCTTCTCCAAGCTCCTCTATTTGTTCAGCAACTGCTTCTAATGACCATGAATCATGTCTATGAGAAGTCAATAAAAAAGTCATTTCTGAAAATTGTATTCTTCGAAGCTCTCCACAATCCCTCAGGTACGCAGCTGTGGTTCAATGAGATAGCAAAGATGCTCAAAGCCTGGTCCAGCCCCAGTTCTTCAGGCCCAAGGGTTCACTCTTGCCTCCCATGGTGAAATGAGGGTTTAGACCCTACTTTTCCAACAACGAGCAATGTTCCAAAAGTTCTCAGAGTCACTAGTCAACCAAGAGAGCTGAATGGGGCAGTAGGCTGCCTGGGAGCTGGGGGAGGAGAGGGCGGCCCCAGTAGCAGGCCATCTTGGGCCACATGCCCATCTTCTCACAGGGCCCACAGACAGCGCTCACTCACCTGCAGCTCTACACACACCCAAGTACAGCTGCAGGTTTCAGAACATACCACTCTGCATTTTCCTTCTTAAAAGTCTGGGAAGGAACATGGTGCTAGCCAGACAATGCCAACACTAAGCAAAGTTATGGGGGGAAATGGCAGCACTGGGTGGGCCACAGCTTGTCTTCTCCTACCAGGTAACATCCCCTCGTTTCTGGCCTACTGTTCCTGCACTCTGGCATTCACTCTCCTCCATTCCTCCCCTTCCCTCTACCTACAGCTAATCTCAGGGCAGGATTTGACCTGCCATTCACATGGGGGTAATGATAGAGTGTGTTACTCTCCTGACCACTTTTTAAAACATTATTTATTTTATTGGTTCTCTTTAGTTATTCATGATGAATAGTTACATTTGATATAATTATACAAGTATAGAATATATCTTATCCTAGTTAGGACCCCAGTCTTTTGAATGTATTTCTGGCCTCTATTCATACTTCAGCCTGCTCTATCCCACATCACACTTTAGTGTTTTCCCTGAAGCATAACCCACATCTGAAAATTCTCAGCCCAGCATGGACAGTGGAGCAAACCCTGCATGTCTCCAGCCCTGACTCTGTTTCTGGATCAGGGATGGGACTCATAAAAGATCCCATCAGATCACTTGCACTCAAAGACACTGGATCTGTAGTTTTAGGAGGCTCTGCTAGAGCTCTGGTGTACAGAATCCCAGGTCCAGAATGACTGCCTCAGGCCAGTGATCCCACAGGTACAGTGGACATTTTTATAAGCCCAGAGTGGGTAAGGCAGGTGGCAAGGTCAGATATGACAGCTTAGAAGGTGCAGAGAGAAAACAAAGAAGAGCTGGGGCCAATCATGTCGGCAACTCACACGGGTTTTACTTTGCTGGAAATTTCAAATTTTCTCAGAATGTATATATTTTTGGTAATTGATTTTTTGGTCAATTTGTAATTTTGTTATTATTTACTGACAAATAAAAAGTACATACATTTATACAATACAATGTATTTAGTAATGTGTATACATTACTAAATGATTCAATTCAGCTAATGACCATATCCATTGCCTTACTTACTAATCAAGCTTCTTTGGTGAGAAAATGTAAAATCTACTCCCTTAGCAATTTTCAAGCATTCAGTATTACTATTTTTTTTTCTCAATTCATGGTTTTAATTCATTCACCTTAGGCCCCTTTTTTTGAAAGATCATGAGATACAAATTTTAATTTAAAGAACGCAACAGGTTTTTAAGCTATGAAGATCATTATCATTGTCATCCCCAGTCTAATACCCATCATCTTTACTGAAATGTATTAAATGTTTTTTTTTTCTTGTTTTACTAGTCACTTTTTTTTTAAATTTTTTATTGTTGGCTGTTCAAAACATTACATAGTTCTTGATATATCATATTTCACACTTTGATTCAAGTGGGTTATGAGCTCCCATTTTTACCCCATATACAGATTGCAGAATCACATCAGTTACTGAATAGACTATTTCTAAAACATCCCCATTAGTAGAGGATAGGAAAGGCAGCAGAACTCAACAGACACTAGTATGGCAATATGTAAATCAATGGATGTGTAACTGATGTGATTCTGCAATCAGTATTACTATTAACTACAGTCAATGTGCTGTCCAACAGATGTCCAGAACTTAGTCCAGGTAATAAATTTATAAACTATTTTAACAAGGGGAGAAATAAGACTCCTGTGCTTTTCATGACTGTACCCCCAAACCAAGAGAACTTCATGGAAATTGAGAAGGAATAACCATGAAGAACTGTAACAGCAAGCTGCCTTCTGACCTAATTTTTCTGTCAAAAAGTTCCTTTTAATTAATTAACAGGCAGTGAGAGTGATAGGGAAGAACATTGATCCCGGGGAGCTAAATGGGAAGATCAGGGCAGCAGAAGTGTCCCAGCAGTATAGCAATGGCTGGTCCTGTGTGTTTGCTTGGGTGTCTGCCTAGCACTCTCAGCAGAAGTGCAGACCTAGGCTTGGGGGAGAAATCCTGTGTTCCAGGTATTCTGGGTCAAAAGCAGAGCCAAAGGTAATATGTTTCAGGGGCTGAGACCCCGGGTCCCTAATCCTCTGTGTGTGCCCAATTTGACCCCCAGACCCAATTCACTCAGTGGCTCTCTCTAGCCCTAGACACAGCTGCAGAAAACTTCATTTCTGCTGATTCTGGCTCAGCAGTGTCTGCTGGACATATGTCATATGCTCACAGCCTCCGCAGTGGCTGTCTGTCGATTGGTGGGCGTCCAGAACACACTCTCAGGCCCAGACACAGCACATCAGGGGGAAAGAAAACAAAGGAAACCTTCACATCTCCAGTCCTCAGCCCAGGACACGGGGATTCCATCCCCTGAACACTGCCTTGCCTGCACAGCTCCCACTGCAGACACTGAGGTCAGATTACTCTGGGAGGAAAGAACTGCTTCAGAGCAGCAGCTGCCTCGCACCCAATTTCCTTGCAAAAACATCAGCCCATTATTATCCCAGCCTAGGGAATTGCAGCTCTCTGCCTCTAATTATTAAACGATGCTTCTCAGCCAGCTCCAACTCCAACACTACCTCCCCAAACTCATGGGAGGTCTTCAATTTAACATCTGCGTGGGCTCAGAGGATGTGGCTGTGCACTGATCCATTCAGTCCGGCAGCGCCACAGAAGCAGGTGGGAGGAATCATGAGTACTTGGGTAGCTTTGAGGTGTCAGCATGAAACAGAGAAAGAAAACACAGGCTCCTGGGCTGCCTCAGGTGAAGAGCAAGGCAGGAGGCCATGCATCTGCTCCTCCAGGGACCCACTGCCTGCAGGTACAGGAACCTGTTCTTTTTATCTCTGGAAGAGGACACTTCTTGCCCCCAGCACACCCTCACCCAGAACCACACCCATGCAGTTAATATACCTCCCCAACGTGCTTAATTAGAAAAGAACATTTTAAATAAAACTGTATTATGGTGAAATACATGTAACACAAAATCGACTATCTTAGCTATTATGTATACAGCTCAGTAGTGTTAATTACATTCACAATGTCATGAGCCATTGTGACCACCTAGCTCTAGAACATTTTCATCTTGTAAAACTGAAACTCTGTAACTATTAAACACCAAGTTCCCTCTTGGCTCTACCACCAGGCCCCAGTCACTACCATTCTACTTTGTGTCTCTATGAATTTAATGACTCCAGGTACCTATTAGAAGCAGAATCATTATTATCTTTTTGTGCATATTTCACTCAGCATCATAATGCCCTAATGGTACATTCAGGCTATAGCATGTGTCAAAATTTCCTTCCTTTCAAAAGTTGAATAATACTCTATTATATTATATGCCATACTTTATCTATTCACTGTTAATGGTAATTCGATTTGCTTCTACCTCTTGTCTATCAGGAATAATGCTGCTGTGAACAAGGGGGTACAAATATCTCTTTAGCATCCCTGCTTTCAGCTCCCTTGGTTCTTAGTGCCTGAAGGTACACCAGCCACATCACACACAATCAGAATTACTGAAGACACTATTTCTAAAACATCCCCATTATACATTCAATCATCTTATATAAACAGAAAATGTTCTCATAAGGGAACTGTATTCTACAAAACACATTTTAATCCTTAGGGTTGGCATCTGACAAATCATCTTGAAGAGTGACCAGGCAACTATCTGGGGTCTAATGGTGGCATTGCACATGTGTTGAAGATATATGCCCAGATGCAGGACTGCTGGATTTTTTTTTTAAGGATCAATTATACTGTTTACCACAGTGGTTGTATCATTTATTTTCCAACCAATAGTGCAATAGTGCATAAAGGTTCTGATTTCTCCACTTTCTTCTAACAGTTATTATTTTCTAGTTTTGTTTCACTGTAGACACCCTAATAGGCATAAGGTAAAGAAAAGAAGACTTTACACAAATATTTTCTTCATGGCAAGAAAGCTGTTAGGAGGCAGAAAAAGAAAAGCAAGTGTAATTGGCAGCATCTCTGGGCCTAGGGTATGTTCGTGTATGCCCGTGGCTATCTGTAAAAGGGCCAATCCAGAAGCTTTATCAACTCGGATTTTGGTGACATCTGTGTCTCCTGGAACAAATGCTATTCATTCCCAACACAACACCTTTACTTATGCTTTCTCCTCCCAGTTCTGGAGATCTAGCATGGCCTGGTGACTAGTTACTATATTATATTCGTACATTTTAACGATTCTTACCAAATACATGGTAGTAAGATGGCTATAGGATGGATATGTTCATTAGCTAATAATGAAAGGAAATAGAGAAAAATTTTTTCCAATATCGGAAAGGTTCCCATATTAGTATTTTTTTTAACAAAACAGAATTTTAAACAACATAGAATTTATACATTTTATGCAGTGTTTATGAAAACCACTTTCAAAGTAGGGTACTTGGAAGTTTAGTTGCATATTCCAATGATGAAGTTGTTTAGAACTGCTCTTTAGGAAAAAACTTTAAGGTCTGATTTAATTTTCATTTTTAAAAAATTAGTCACATTAATTTATGGCCATGCATAGACATGGTTCCCAGGATTCCTACTAGCTCCTTAAATGGAATCTACTCTCAAAGCATGATACCCATAACCCCCTCACTGCAATCAGTAGGGGATGCTATGGAAAGCCCCACAAGCTCCAAATTGCCATTTCCCAGTATCCTGAGCAATGGCAACCTCTGGTCCATGTGAGTGGCCTACACGCCGAGGAAGATGGTAACTGGGAGGTTCCCAGCACTCACCCATGGATAGGTCCAGACCAAAAGCACATGCCAGATCATGTTCATCCCTTGGTTCTTAGTGCCTGAAGGTGCACCAGCCACATCACAGGCAATCAGAATTACTGAATAGACTATTTCTAAAACATCCAATTATACATTCAATCACCTTATATAAGCAGCAAATATTCTCATATGGGAACTGTATTCTACAAAACACATTTTAATCCTTAGGGATGGCATCTGACAAATCATCTTGAAAAGTGACCAGGCATCTATCTGAGGTCTAGTGGTGGCATTGCACATGTGTTGAAGAGAACAGAGCTGCGTTAGCTGGTTGCTGAGGCTTGGGCCACAGAACTTCCCTAACTGGCACTGGGATATCTTTGGGCTAGAATGTGCAGCACAGGGCCCAAAAGATGCAACCAAAGAGCCAATTTTCATCAAAACCAAAATATTTAATGGAATTTAACACATCATGGATAGACAGGTTGTCTCCAAGCTAAAGACAGGACAAAGTTCTTCATTCCACAAATTTATCTCTAAACGAGGAAAAAGTATAGAGTTTGGAATTTAAGTTTTAAAAAATTTACATCCTTAAAATTCAAAGTTGATACATTCCTAGCAACTGTGATGAAATACAGGTATTTTTTAATCTAATGGATTAATTCATTTCCTATAGCAGGACTTTGTTATGAACACATTATAATATTTTTTACAACCAAGAGATAAAGATGTAGAAAAAAAGTAAATAACCACATCTACATGGGCAGTGATTTGAATTGTGTCCCACAGATAAGATGGTCAAGTCCTAGGCCCTGCTACCTGTGAATGGAACCTTGTTTTAGAAAGAGGGTGACTGCAGATGGAACCAAGTTAAGACGTGGTCATGTGGATTAAGGTGGGCCCTAACCCAATGACTGGTGTCCTTTCAAAAAGAGGGGAATCTGGATATAGAAAAGTACATGCAGCAAGAAGCCCACGTGAGGATGGAAGAGAGGTTGGAGTGATGCCATCTACAAGTCCAACGAGTGCAAGCATGCCAAAGAATACTAAGGGCTACCAACAGCAGCAGGAAGGACAAACCCTCCCCTAGAGCCTTCAGCAAGAGCATTGCCTGCCAACATGTCCCTTTCGGACATCTAGGCTCCAGAATGTAGAGGGATAAATTCCCATTACAGTCACCCCATTTGTGGCCATTTGTTACAATAGTTCTAGAAACTAAAGCAACACTGCCACTTGCTGCTTTGGAGGCTGCCTTGGGTTTCTGTTGTACATTGCTGGCCCCCTGGAGTCCCTCTCAGTCTAGAACGGTAAGTCCAGTTCTGCAGCCTATAAAGAAACTTCACTGTTTTCTTCAAGTGCAGGCTGCAGGTGACTTCCACAGACATCCAGAAAGTTCCAGTGGATCCCATGCTACCTGTCAATGGCACATCTAGCAAGGCCTTGTGGAGCACGCACATGCCTATGTGGACTTCCTCCCTCAGGAAACTGGTGGCATCCACTCTCCTCCCTAACAGTGTTCCAAAGCCAGTGTAAAGCAGCTGCAGACCCGTGTGAGCTCCTTCCCAGACGGCATTTTATTTATTGGGGGAATAAATAATAAATTTTCTTCCAAGTTCTAACTCTTGGTTATCTAAGATTTCGGTATTTTTCTAATATTCATATTAGAATGAATGGCTGACTCTTAGTGCTAGGCAGTGGGAAGAACATGTCCATAAAAGTGGATGCTCTCGTTAATCCCTATTTTACTGATGAGGGAACCGAAGCCCAGTTAGGTAGACAAAGGTCTGATGTCAGCCTGAATCCTAACAGCATGCCCTAGAAAGGGGAACATCTCCTCCCTCTTGCATGTCAGCCATAGATTGACTCTAAATTTACCTGGTCACAAATACAGCAGCATCCACAGGGGGTGTATCGTCCTTCCCTCCTGGAACCTGATTGTTACCGAGGTACCGCGCACCTCCATATTCCTCATTCTGCCAATGACAGAAGCTCTCCAGGGACCGCTCACCATGGTGCCCAATGGACAATTTGGCCTAAAAGAAATTGAGGAGGCAGTCAGAGAAGTGGACACCCAGGGAAGCAGAGTGTCCATCCAGACTGCAGTATGGACATTAAACTGGAGACAGCTGCTAAGACATCATTTTATGACTTGTTATCTCCAAATAAAAGAATAACACAAGCGGGTATTCAAGAGACCTTTGAAGAGAACATCAGGGACCTTATCTTTCAATTCAAAAGAAAAGCAATCTACTTTTCTGTAAACACAACAGTGTACCCAACCAAGCAATGTGACCTCAATCTCACGTTGATGGCCCAATTGTATAGGTATCATGTTCATGGGGGAGTGCCCTGAAAGACAAGACCAGGGAACACTGCTGCAGTGACTGCCACTGGGATGGAAGCTCCACGAGGCTGTCATGATTCTAAAGGCCCCTGGAGCTTCGTACATATCTGAGAACCTTCGCAAGACCTTCCAGGAGGGGAGGGGGATGGGCAGGATCCCACTGGCAGGGATCTTCTGTGATTCAACTCAGCCAATGCCAGTTACATATAACTGTGTGTTCTCTGAGAGGTGCCCTTGGGGACTTACAGGACGTTGTCGTAGGAGGACAAGCTTGGTAACTTGAATGTTGATTTTAATTCCGAGACTCTGGTGCTGAAACATATTGTATACCTATTAAGAGAGAAAAAGATACAAAATATCTTTTAAAATACAGTGGAATCTTGGATGGGGGCTTAGAAGAGAGAAAAGTTAAGAGAGAAAAGATAGCAGGTAGAAACTAAGGCAATCTGAATACACTATAGACTTTACAGTAACGTATCAGTATTGACCCTACAAACATACCATACTAAGATGTTAAGAATAAGGGGAACTAGGGGCTGGGGTTGTGGCTCAGAGGTAGAGCACTCGCCTAGCATGTGTGAGACATGGGGTTCCATCCACAGCACAACATAAAAATAAAATAAAGGTATTGTGTCAACTTACAACTAAAACATAAAAATAAAAACAATAAAGAAAAAGAATAAGGGGAACCATGTCTAAATCTCTGTACAATCTGCTCAACTTTTCTGTAAATCCAAAACTGCTCTGAAATACAAAGTCTTTTAATAAAGATCATATTAAAATGCAGCATGTGCTCTTCGATAATAATATATAATTCAAATTTTGGTGTTGATAAAGATTAGAACAAAATATACATATATGGGAGAAACATGCCCAGATTTTATTTCTAAGGTTTTCTGAGATAAAAAATAACGCCCTTCAAAGCAAATCTTCCAAAATAAAAATAGATATGATAGAAATCTCTGGAATCACACATATGCACATGCATACATATACACCCGAAGCTAAGCTAGAAACCCATTAGCTTTTCAGAAAAAAAAAAAATGTGTAGGTCAGGAGATTTTTGAAAAAAAAAAGACATGGATGTTAGATGATTCTGGTCAAATATTCAAAACTCCCATTCTGGGCTTTCATGCAAGAAGATGAAGGCAGGGAGGAGACAGGAGCCTGCTGTGTGCCAGCCATGGTCATCTCTAACCCTCACCACCACCCTCAGCTGGGAAACAGCTCAAGCTAGAGCCACCTGATAAAAACAGCCAAAGGTGACTTGACCCAAACCCAGGCTCCTCTAGCCAAAATATTCATTTTCTTCTTTATTCCCTGAAGTCCTCATTCTAACCAAAGTTTGTCACTGAGAGAAATTATGGTAACAAAGGGATATGTCCTTCTCAGTGTAGCCCCTTGTTATGGTTCAAGTGTAATTTGAGTGTCCCCCAAATGTCCATAAGCAAAGATTTGGTCCTTAGGGGGTTCCAGTGGGAGATGCTATGAACCTCTAGGAGGAGAGGACTTGTGAGAGGCCCTGAGGTCATGAGGGATGGGAGACATCCCCAAAAAGGACTGTGGGACCCCACTCTTGCTCTCACTGGTTTTTGGCTTGAAATGTGACTGCTTGCTCTGACATGCATGCCTGTCATTATCATGTGCCGTCTTTGCAAGACGCCAAAGCGATATGTCTACCTGATTTTGAACCTGAACCTCCAACACTGGGAGCTCAGCAAACTTTTTTACTTTACAAGTTAGTAACCTTGGGCATTTCATTATAGTAATACTAAACTGACTAATACCCACTTCTTGTTGGCAGAACTTAATTGTAAAGACTTCAAAATCAGAAGTCTGGGAAAGTGTTCCAAAGAGAAGAGATGAAGGGAATCTTGAATAAGGCAGAGAAATCAAAGTTGATGTGACAAAGAAAGACCACTGACTTTAAAGATCCCTTGACTTCCTTGTCTATAAGATTACTCTGAGAGGTTCAGTGGGGAAGGTGATAAAGGACCCAGTAGTAGCAGGACACAGAGGGAACAGGGATGAGAACTTTCTGAATGTTCTATCTTGTTTTTACTCATAGATACAATTCAGAGAGGAGAATTTTCTTTTTAATTTTTTAAACTTTTGTTCTAATTAATTATACATGACAGTAAAATACACGTATTTTATATCATGGAGTATAATTTCTTTTTTCTGATTGTACACATTGTAGAATCACATTGGTCATGCAACCATATTTGTACATAAGATAACCTCTGCTTCATTCTACCATCCTTCCTATCCCTGTACACCATCCTCTCCCTCCACTCCCCTCTATCTAATCTAAAGTAACTCTATTCTTCCCTAGCCCACTTCCCCCCGGGGAAGAATTATCTACCAGCAATATTGTCACTTTTTTCTATTTGGTGCTTTGTTTCCACTACTGACTCAACATCATCAGCAGAAGCAATGGCCACTGCAGATGGCATAGCCAGGTCAACTCAGGCCAAGTGGAGCTGGTCAATGACACAGTGCCTGGCCTGCAAGTCGGGCAGGCAGTGCTGAACGCATCTGTGTAACACAGGAATTAGCTGCATCATGGCTTGGAATTTACTGTGCAAAACTGTTGTTACAGTTAATAAAATCTGTGTAACAATAGTTTTTCCCACAAGGAAAACTAGAACACATTCACTTTTCTGTTCTCACATTTCCACCCCCGACACAAATTTCCTTTCCTTAGGAACAAAATAGCAGTCATGTTTTAATACTGGATCACCTTTAGGCTCAATCTGAAGTTGTGTCTTCATTATCTATCCCCAGCCCTAGAGGAGAAGGGGAAAGCATGCAATGTTTTCCTTGTTTTAGTATTTCCAGAACACCCAGGGGCTCTAACTCAAATTTTTCCTGAAATATTCAGCATAAGAATTGGACTCAAACTGGTAAACCTCAGTTTGAAACATGAAAATAAGAATGAACAAAGATGTAGTTATGAAGGAGAAAAGTCGAGTTGCACAGGATTTTGTTTTAAGGTGACTTAAACAAAACCCATGAGGCTGGGGGTATAGCTCAGTTGGGCAAAGTGGGTGCTTAGCATACACAAGGCCCTGGGAACCCTAGCATCAAAATAAAGAAGCAGAGCCTATAATGTCAAAAGTATCTAAACACTAAAGATATTAAGAAATGTTGTAGATTTCAAAAAAACAATGTGGAAAAGCACCTCTCAGTAATATTCTGAACTGCTGCATTAATAAAGAACCTCAGGGAATGATTGAAATGATCAGGGAGAATAAAACGGCAGGACAAGCTCCCTGTAAAAATCACCCATTTGTTCCTTGCTGAGCTGGACATAGTTCAGAACCAAATTCATTCCATACCCCAAGATTCAGTCCCTTCCCTTGGAACAAAAGCATCAAAATTTTAAAAAAGAAGAATAATTTGAGATGGAAGAGGAAAATAAATTCAAAATTCCAGGGGCTTGAGGACAGGGTGAAATGGGGAGCTAATCAATAGCTATGTAGGGTCAGTTTTGCAAGATGGGAGAATTCTAGCGACTGGTTGGACAATGACGTGTATATACTTAACACTGAATTGTGCTTTAAAAGGGTTAGGATGGCCAGTGGCACACATCTGTAATCCCAGTGGCTCGGGAGGCTGAGGCAAGAGGATTGTGAGCTCAAATTCAGCCTTAGCAACTCAGTGAGGTCCTAAGCAACTCAGCAAGACCCTGTCTCTAAATAATACACACACACACACACACATATGTCTGTATATGTATGTGTGTGTATATGGGCTGGGGATGTGGTTCAGTGGTTAACAGCCCCTGAGTTCAATTCCTGGTACCAAAAAAAGAAAAGAAAAATAAAAGTTAAGATGGAAAATTTTATGTGTATTTTATCAAAATTAAAAGTTTCATGCTTGGAATAATATTCTCTAGAAACCCCTGTAATATTAGTGTTCTGGTCCAAGAGGGAAGGTATCAGAGCCTGATGATAGCACTTCATCATTAGCTGCCTGCTGACCACATTCCAACAAAGCTCTGCAGAACACCAGGCAAGGGCAGGTGGACACCAGGATCTCCCTCGAGGCCCCACACCAGGTACAGCAAGCCAGATGAATACCCCATGACAGCCATGAAACACAAGATGCATAGCCAAGCCTGTGTCTTTTCTCCGAGGAAATTCAAGCTCAGAAGTAGTCCTAGAGATAGCAGCCACATGATGCTTAGGGAGACACCTGGCTGGGCATGGAACACTGTAGTCTGGAAACTCTGTCCCTAGTGTCCAGCTCTGGCAATGTCCCAGTGAATATTCAGAGCCCTGGCAGCCTTTGTCACATTTCCTTGGCAGCATGGGGGCCAAGCCAGGTGGACCTATTGCCAACAACTCACTGTGGCTCTCACTGGGCAACCTGAGGACACTGTGAGGAATGAGGGATGGCAGAATGAGGGAGCACAGAAGAGTAGGTGGTGGGGCAGGTCGGGAGAAGCTGCTGGTACACCAGGCAGAATTTTCACAAGGTCACCATCTCTGGGCATGACCCTAAGCATGCCCAGAGACAGACAGGCATCCTCAGTTAATAGCATCCCAACAGGAAGGGGCTACATTTTCTAGTCCCCAAAGCAGAAACATCAACATTCCCAGGGACACATGCTGAAATGTATACCCTGAAGTCCTCTCTAGACCCTCCTAAATCAGAGACTGGAGGTGGCCAGGCCATCTGTGTTGAACAAACCCCCCAGGGCTTCTTACTCTCCCCTGGAGTATGAGAACCAGTGAGGGTTTTAACACTGTGCTAATTTTGATGGTCACCAGAGAAAGGTTTGTTGTCTATTTCATATGGTAATTAAGTGAAATTGATGTCATTTTTCCTCCAAAGAGAGCCTGCCTGGAATGTCTCAGGTTTTTCATTCCATTCCATGGTTGTTAAGGAAGCTAAGAACAACCAAAGCTCTGTCAAGTGGCTCTGTTTTCCAATTTGGCTGCTCAAACAGGGAGTTTCTGGTGTCCGCACCACCTGTTTCCATCTGCAATTTGTTCTTTAAAATCACGTATGCAAAAAAGGCTCAACACATCTTCAAAATCCACAGCAGCCAAACCAGCACCAGCCTGGTGGAGGCTTCCTTCTCTCCACATAGCTGCATGGCTTGGCTGGGGACACAATGCCAGGAGCAGGACTCCACTCCCCTGGAAAAGAGCTGGGCAAAAGAATTTATTCATTACAGTGCTGGGGATGGAACCCAGGTTCTCACGCATGTTACGCAAGCACTCTACCACTGAGCCCCAGCCTCAGCTCTAGGAGAAGCTTTTAAAACAGACATCAGTGCACAGTGCACACTGCCCCTCTGCTTAAGCCCATCAGCAGCT